AACTTCTAGATGTTAGCACAATTATCTTTTTCAAGGCTTATGCCTCCATCCAATTAGTAAAATAGTCTACCATAATGAATAGCAATTTTAATTTCCTCATATCTAATGGAAAAAGGCTGAGAATGTCCATAATCTTGGTAATACTTAAACTTTTCACATAGGTTTTTGCGTCTTGGACCATAGAAGACCAATAATACACACATATGAGAACCTTTTCACGAGGCAAGTTTCAGTATGGTCGAGTGACACTATTGTGGAATCGATGTAGACCATGCTTAGTAATATCTATCATACCCTAATTTTTACTCCTAAGATTCCATCTATATCATCATGTGCGTTGCATCAAAGTCACAAACTTGGTAGCCTCTTAACCCTTTTATCTTTGGGTTTGTTGTGTGGGATATTACCAAACACATTTTTTTTGCTTTAATTTAATCATTTTTATGCTTTACTAACCTTAACCAAAATCTAAAAATATGCTTTGCTTCTTTTATTTATTTTGCGAGGTAGGGCTTTTAACCAAAAAGATCAAGTGTGGTTGTTAAATTAGGGTTTTGAATCATCAAGGTCAAATATTGGTTAACCATTGACTCTCAAAAGCTTATTCATCAAGGCATGACCTATAATACGTCACACTCTTCTCAAGCTTCACTTTACACTATTTGACCAAAGAAAGTCCAAGGTGGTTGCTTGGTTTTTAAGTTACTTCAAGATAGGTTCATGTGTTTATATTCATGCCTTTTTCATTAATTTATCAAGTTTTTGTTAAGGCTTATCAAAGAGAAATCAAGGTTTTTTCATTTGAAGTCCATATGATCATCATTTGTGCCTTAGAATGCAAGGAAACTCAAAAAGCGGCAAGTTGGTTCAAGGTGTTTTGACCTAAAATTCAAGTTTATCATGCCTTTGTTCAAAATATCATAAATCCTTCATACATCAACATTTTTAGTGACTCTTTTGGCAAATGGTTTATTTTGATGTCCTCTATAATTTCTCTTCACAAGTCAAAGGCCAATTATACTTCTAAGGTCCTCAAAGTTTCAAATCAATTATATGTCATTCTTGGACTTAGAAAAATTTGACTTATAACTATAGGTCATGACCTCAACTTTACATCCATGTAACTTTCAGCTCTGACCTCCAAATTCTTTTATTCTTTTTTCATTGTTTTCTATTCAATGAGATGATCATTTATCAAAAATAAGTTCAGAGAATGGTTAAGTGTACAAAATTTACCATGAGCTTGAAGATAGCTGCAGAAAACTGTTTTTTAACCATGAACCAAAATTAGAAATGTACCAAAACTCAAATAGGATCACCTAAGCCATGTGAAAAATTGTCCCAAATGGTAAAACACAGCTCACCACAACTTGAAACGAGATGAAAACGCAAAGGATCACGCATTCCATGCTTCATTTTCACACACTTGGATCAAGAATTTTTCACCTTCACTCACATGCTTGGGATATTCTTTTCACACAAACCATGACCTGACTCATCCTCTTATAAATATAAAGTCTTGATATCTTCGTCCAACCGAACCTTGTCTTCAGAATTTTCAGAAGTTGGTCTAGAGAACCGTTGGTCTTCAAAATCTTCAGAACTTGTTCAGCAAAACCTTGTCTTTTAGAATCTTCAAAACTTGGGCAAGATAACTTGGAGTCTTCAGAGCTTTAGAACATATCAGAAGCTCTACAACTGAATCACAATTAGAAACAATAAAACTAACATTCTTTCAAAACGGTTACTTTAAGACGCATTCTAAGCTATGAAACACAAACTTGTATTCTTCAGTGTGTTGAGTCCAGAATCTGATGACGCTACACATCAATTCTTCAGAGACATAACATGTTAGAAAAAACTACACACTAAACAAACTATTAGGATACTAAATTATTATCTAAACTCAAAACCAAATACATAACCAAATCTTGTTCTTATAATTTTTTCTTTTAGAAAATAAATATTTTTATAGTAATTAGTATCTGTTACTATACTAAAGATGATATTTATAATTTATTAGTTAAAAAATTTTTCTTTTTTTTTTATTTTACCTGTTATAATGTGAATACAAAATTGTAAGTAATGGATGATGCCCTTTTATTAATATTAGAAATAAAATTCCTCAAAATTTTGGAGATAAATTATATGTAATATAAAAATTTTTTTGCCAATCAATTATAAAAATAAAGTCATATATATTAACTTATTATTTGAAACATAATTCTAGGTTAAATCATTTTTTTGATAATAGGAATTAATTAAAAAAAGTAAGTTATTTGGAAAAACATGGGTATTAGATTTTTTTTATAATTGGAAGTTATTAAAAATTTAATATTAGTATTTATTATAAATAAATTAAAAATTAGCTTTTGAAAACTTTATTGTAGGTTAAATGATTTTTTTGGCAACAAAAAGTTATCAAAATTAATTTAAAACCAATTATTATTATAATTTACTTATTATTATTAATATTAATATTATTATTATTATTATTATTATTATATTATTATTATTATTATTATTATTATTATTATTATTATTATTATTATTATTATTATTATTATTATTATTATTATTATTATTGTCTATTGTTTAGGTATTTAAAAACTCGGAGGTTAGCTGAGAAATACCACGTGCAGTGACATGAAAATTGAAATGAAATATATACTGTTTTTTAAAATGATAATGAAAAGAAGAAAATAATTTTATCGATTTTTTTAATAAAAATTTAAGGTAATTTATTTTTATATCAAATTTAATAATTAATTATAAATATTTATTTAATTTTTAAATTTAATTTTATATATATATATATATATATATATATATATATATATATATATATATATATATATATATATATATATATATATATATATATATATAATGATTTCATCTTGTATTAATTGCATTATAAATGTTCTATGAAATTATATTTCATATTAAAAATTAGTAGTTATACCTTGGTTCAAAATTTTAAATTTACATAAATAAGTATAATTTAAATTACAATTTTATTTTTACTAATTTGTTCAATTTTAAAAAATTATATTTTACAATGAATTTATTATAAAATGGATTTATAATAAACTTTAACTGATTTTTTCAAAAGTTAGTTATGTTCGATTTTTCTCATTTAAAAAGTTGTCCCAATTTAACGAGTTTTAATTATGACAATATGACAATTTTAAATTTACATAAATAATTATAATTTAAATTACAATTTTATTTTTACTAATTTGTTCAATTTCAAAAAATTATATTTTACAATGAATTTATTATAAAAAGGATTTATAATAAACTTTAATGATTTTTTTCAAAAGTTAGTTATGTTCGATTTTTCTCATTTAAAAAGTTGTCCCAATTTAACGAGTTTTAATTATGACAATATGACAATTTAATTTATAAATTAAAAATTATACTTATTAATTTAGAAGATTTTGATTATGACAATAAATCAATTTAATTTATAAATTAAAAATTGCACATATTAATGTACATATGATAATATGATATTATTAAAAGATTAATAAATTAATTATTTCTATTAAATTTATTGACTTTTTTTTAAATATATAAAAAAGATTACAAATGTTTATAACGAGAAAAGAAAGTACATATTTTAAAATTATAAAATACAGGACAGGTTCTTTCGTGATTATGTTAAAAATATAATTTATATTATTTTAAATTATTTATTCGTATACTCTTTATTTAATTCATATACTCTTTTGTAATTTTTTAAATTATCCATTATATTAAAAAATTTACATCATCTAAAAAATTTAATGATAAAATGAGTTTTAGTTTATAAATTACTATAAATATTTGTTTTTGTAAAAAATAGAAGACAATTATGATAAATTTAACTATAAATATTTGTTTTGATACAAAATTTGATTCATCATTATTTTTATTATCTTTATAAATGTAGGTATATTTAACATTAGATTGTTAAAAATGATAAGGAATCATCATTATTGATTTTAGATTTATTAGAAATAATTATACATTATTTAAAAAATTATAATACTATTTACTACGAGTTATTAGGAATTTAATTTAGTGTAGTTTTATTAAAAAATAATTTTAATAAAAATAATTTTATTTAATATTAGAAATATGCACATTGCTACTATTTTTAAGAGGGTGACATAATGAATATTCCTATTAAGATGACTACTTCGTTGATTATGAAGAGTCTACTAAAAGTTAGAGAAAATGTTAACAATATGCAGCACAATAGTAAATTCCATACCAGAAAGATGTATCTGGTTCTTCTCCATACTGATAGTAATGTTTCTTGGAGAACCGTTATGTTCAACAACATTGCAAGATCAAGGGTAATTCACACACTTTGGATTGCTTGCAATAAGAGACTTGCCACTAAAGACAGACTGGTGCGGTTTGATATGCTTAGTCATGATGATTTTTGCTTTCGCAGGAACACTGAAACTCAAGATCATTTGTTACTCTCGTGCCCAGGTTATAAGAACAAGAAGTGTTTCTACATCTGGCCTTAAGATTTTGATGATAACTTTATATGGTATCATAAAGAACAATTGTATACTCTAATAGTTTCGTTCTAGTGTGTAGTTGCTGTTATAATGTTCTAACTATGGTATCAAGGTGTGTGACATCATTAGGTTCTGAAGATAAACACTACTGGAAGAAAATATTTGGTTACGTGTTACAATTGAAGCCAAGATTATGGAATTCGTCTTATGCAACGGTTCTTAGAAACGTTAGTACAAGAGGTTCTGATCATGACTTTGTGGTTAAGCTTTGGAGGCCTTCTAAAACTTTGCTTTTGTGTGTTCCAAGTTCTGAAGATTATGAAGACGAGGTTCTGCAGAACAAGTTTTGTCAAGAGTAAATTCCATGTGTGATTATGGGAGAAAGAATATTATTTGTCTGTCAAGTAACACAAATTAGTTTAGTTGCTTAGAAATCATATACAAAAGATAATGAATATTTTCCAAATATGAAAGCATTACTTAGATCCACTCAAAATCGAGATAGAGAGCCAATAGTTCTTCCAGAAGTGGTGAATAGATTTTCGTCACTTGCTTTTTCTCATACCAGGCTGCAAACCAAAATGAAATGGATTATCGGGTTGATGTATCACAAGCACAAAAATATGCAGGTATCAAGACGAAATATATAATTACTCGAGGCTTTATTTTATATATAACATGATTCTATGGATGAAGAACTGGAACATAGATATGAAGTGAATATAATATTCAACAGTTCGAGAGAAAAGAATAGAACTTTCGAAGATCTTTTTCAAATCTTGACGACTTGTGTGAGATTGTAAAAACGGCGCAACAATATAGGTAGGATCTGTAAGAGAGCGGAAAAAAAGACGGTCATTATTAATCAGGCTGAGAATAAACTTGAAAAAAACAGTTACATAAAAGAGAAAATTTAAAATGGGATATACAAAAAGTAACCTTTAGGAGAGACATCGACGTAATAGAGAGAACCAGTAAGGATAGCGGTAAGTACAGCTACAAGTGCTTACGGAAATGGAACAAATGGTGGTAGAACTCCTGTCTGCATATTACTATATAAATTACGAGTTAGTTACCAAAATGACACTTAGTTTTGAATATTTGAAACATAAATAAAATGGTAGACGTACCTAAGACGTCATTCCTCGTACATCTTGAATAAGATTACTGCCTCGTAAAAATATATCTGTCAGTGCCCCTTGTAGAATTCCAATAAGAATTTCAATATAGATGGTTTCAGACATACAATACAGATTTGAAACAAATCTAAATATATTTCTCAAACATCTCTAGGAAAATTAGATAAAGTTCAGGCACAGAAGTTCTGAAACAAACTTGAACTACAACTCTATAGAAGAGTTCCTCTCCCACTGAACTTGCAGCAAACATCGGTATAAACTGTATATTAAAATCAATTCCATCAATTTTAACGGTTGCAATAGACCGGTAATAATTCATCATACAAAAAGTACCAATTTATATCAAATTACTTGCATAGGAGACATACCATAGAAAAAAATCCCTAGCTCTTCATCTTATATGTCTCTAATGGCATGAGCATGGGGCGATAGCTTCACAACTTCATCCTAATAATAAGATGAAAGCTCAATTCAAGTAAACAAATAGAAACACAACCTTATGATAGTTGTATAAACAAAAGAGCTTACATCAAGTATAAAAAGAAGATTCATTTTTCATAAAAGTAAACAAAAGGGTATCTATAAAGTTCCACACTAAAAGATACCAATCCCACCAGCATGAATTATAAATGGACGATTAGCAAAAGTAAATAAAAAACATAACATATGACATGATGGGCTTGAACAGAACACGAAACAAATCTCCATGTTAACAAATTCTTAGTTATGACAATATATATGATATAAAGATATTTGTAGTACAAAGGATTAACGAACATGTAGATTTTCTTAGCGGTCAACTCTACTCTTACCAACGACAAGATATGATGTTTGTCGGTGTTGTGGTAACTGGCATACCTCAAGTATTTTGCTGACAGGCTCGCTGACTTTAAGAAGCATAACACCAATATTCTAATTTTGTGAATTTAATATTCAAATTCCAGCTCGTAGGAGCTTCTGATTATTTCTTTGAACCATTTATGCACAGTTCTTGATCTGCTGCATGACAATTATGAAGCTTTTAGAGTTGAGGCCCCTTTTTGTGACTTTTTTTAATAGGACACCATAGGAGAAGTAATATAATATGGAATGCAATTTGATTCCCGATCTCACTTTTTTGTACTCATTGATTTCATAACTCAGTTCATATTCTCCATTCTACATTTCAATTATTTCATGTTTTGGATATTGTAACTAAATAAAATAAGCTGACTTTGTAACCAAGGAGAACTGTTTGCAGTCAAATTGAATATGTGATGTTCATAATAGGACGCATATGCCATAGTAATTGACTCATATATTTGGATTTCGTTCAAGTATTCATCTTTTTGGATACAACTTCAAACCTCTTAGGTGCATGACATTAGGATACAACTTCAAAATCTTAAGGGGTAAAAAGTGTCAACGTAAATCAAATGTATAATCGCATAGTAAGTGACATGATCTGTAGGCATGCAAGCATGGCGTCAAATAATTAAATAAGCGTAAAATGTATTATACAAATCACCTCATTATGGTCATGGAGTAGAATATGAGTGTTTTCTAGAGGTGAGAATCCAATAGCTGGCAGTCCAAGATTGCAGAAACAACGTGCACCCGTGGATGCATGAAAGATATCTGGCTTGCAAAGTTTCCCACCGGCCTCTTAGACAACATTTTCTAACAATGCCCACCAAGGATTGGAATTGCCAATTTTGGCGACGATTGGTTTTCCACGTGCATCGCGCACAGACACGTTATGTTTGAACTGCTCGAACTAAAATATATTAGAGGGGAATCTAGTAAGATGTAATTTATTCTCAACTAATGGAAAGTTGTAATCAGAACATGTTACACAATACATCTACATCCACATCTGTACATATGTGTACATATAATTTCAGCCCTACTTTACTGTTATTTTCTTTGTTCTGTACTAACCAAAACACCCAGCTTCCTCAACCATAACATTAACCTTTTCAAATAGAAAAGATGATAAAGTTGCGGAAGATGAAGGCCATGATCTGATACCATATCTGTTCATAGCCTCATATTGATGTAGCCTTTTCATAAGCTGCTCAAGACTGATAGTTGCTTCAGCGATCTTCCTATAGTGTTTTCGTGTAGAACTTCGAGCGGCAAGATGTTGCCGAAAATGTCAGTTGTAGAGAAAAATACATAAACTTATTTTTTCTATACAGTCCATCCCAAAAAAAAACATGAATGGAACAACTTTAACTAATAAAAAAAATCAAACCTCTTTCTTTAGATAAATTTGACGTTCTCTTTCTTCCACAACTTTCTTGTGGGCAAGCCACTGATCATGCCATTCATCCAATGAAGGGAGGCAGTCACATAAATCAGGAACATAAAGTACAGTAATCTCCTTGTGGCTAAAGAAATTATCTTTACCAATTCTATCATAATGTATCTCAAAAACACGCAACAACTTTTGGTGTAACTAACTTTTTTATGTTAAATGTGATATTATATGACCAAGAGATATAACACTAATCTCGAATGAAGGAAATATTAATAAAAGAAACAGAGTCAATAGATGTCACAAAAATGATTAAACCTAGCAATGTAATAAATCTCATCCATCTTAAGAAATGAGGATATACAAATTAAAACAGTAGAAGTGAACACTTTAAATGATAGTTATTGACATTCTCCTTAGTGGCAACTTAAACATGAAAAGAAACAATCAAGAAAAATTAAACTAAATACCAGTAAATTTCAATAAATAATCATAAAATTAACTAATACCTCGAGGAACCGGTTCCACTATTGACAATTTTGCAGATGAAATTGACTAATATCCTCCGAGTATCTGTAATAAAATAGGGAGAATATCCATTATTTAATAAGGAGAAGCACAAATTTTCATGGAAAAAAAATCATGTCATGGTATTAAGATAAAAACCTAAAGACTGTTCTGATCAAAGAGTTATCATCATTAGATGGATCACCCCTATCAGCAGATTCCCATGGACCGCCAAGTGCATCCTTCTTAAGGATTGCAAACCTAAGGAAATTTAAAATATCAGGAATGCTGTCATCAAGAGATTTATCAGATGACAACTCCTCAAACGCACCTCTACTAAGCCCACTCATTAAAATTACCTTAAATAAGGAGAAAAAACTACCCATCAAACAGTAACACAACTACACAAACAGGAATGGACTTCAAATCAATTTCTTTCTCTGGAGTTAGTTACATACTGTCTCTGGAGCTTGTTTATCACTTCCTCCACTGCATTAGGAGAGGAATCTCATGCCATGCAATTTCTTTCTCAATTCAACTGCTGTGAGTGCCCAGTGGATTAAGGAGACATACATGCTTAAACAAAAAATGGCGTAAAGAGACAAGCGAATCGGCGTAAAGAAACAAAACATAAAAAATTGCTCACTTTTCATGATTGTTTTCCAAGAAAAAAAGTTGAGTCGTCAAAAACGTTAGCTCCCCCTAAGATCTTGAATAACAGAATCATTTTGTTGCCCTTGAGGATGGATTGAACGAACTCGTAGAAATTTTATTTGTTAATATCACTCTAATATATATGATGTTACCAAAAACCTTTTTTCTTAAATCAACGACAGGTAACGTGAAACAACGTCGTCGAGGTTCCTTCATGGTTTTAACCAAAGTGTCAGTAAAAAGATTTTCCTGCATAGCAGACAAAATGAATACTGAACAACAACCAAGGACCAGAAAGATTCGAAACTATTTCCATAGACCCAAATCTCTGTGCGAAATAAAAAATTTATACAACGATAAAGTTGCATGAGTTCTAATTAAGTCAACTTTTTCTAGGATTATTAGAGAAGGATTGTACTAAAGTTATAAGAGGGAACTGCAAATACTTGTTTTTGATATTCTCGATAGCAATGTATTCTCCTTGAATTAATTTGAAGATCTTTTTTTATGTCAATAATTTTCATGGCTCCATTTGGAAGCCATTCTCCAATGTCTCCTGCATTAATTTTTCAAAGAATTTCAAAACACACGACATTTAGAGCATACTATCAACTTTAACACAAGAAAGCAAAAATATAGAAGTTTGTGACGAACTCATCGTCATGAGGACATACCTGTATGAAACCAACCATCATCCATAACCTCTTCTGTAAGATCTTGACGTTTGTGGTAACCGGCTAACAAAGTATTCCCTCTCAAGCAAATTTCTCCACAAGGTTGACTGGAGAGTGCGTCATATCCCATATTAGGAACAGGCTCAAGCTTAGATTCAAGGGTTGGAATGGGAAATATGAATGTTCTCACCATAGAAAAACAGATTGGATATTGAAGTGAAACACCTCGCACATTCAAATACACATCAAATACTATAGTGTACCATATCCTTGTGTCAAGGTATATCCAAAAGTGACCCTCATAAACTCTTCAACGTGCTTAGACAAAGGGGCGGCTCCTGGTAACAGGATTCAAACTCATCCACACAACGACTATTTAATCTATCAATAAAACCAATGTTTCAAGTTGAACAAGTTTTTTTGAAATAAAATCGTAGTTAAAAATCGAATTCCTTGCAAACACAAGCCTATCGAACCAAGGTACTGCTCTGTCTTGTGGAAGAACACTATTTAGATATATCAATTTACTGTCAATGGAGTTTAGATAAGTATACAATAAGATAGAAATTGAAAGTTAGAAAAGTAGAATTCATGAACGATTAAAAGTTGTGACCTTCAAGTTCATGTTTTGAATGAAGGAAACCATTTGATTGCTAGTGAATAACATTTTATCTAATAAATTTTAATAGTTTTTGGTGATTTTTTGAAACATGTAGTAAGGGTGTTAAATTGGTTTTAACGCTAACTGAACGGATTTAGATAAACAATAAGGTTTGACTTAGCTTTGCGGGTTGACACAAACGTTTATTTTAGAACAATCACACTCTGAACTTTAATGCAATCATCAACTTCAGTTTTCAACATACTATTATCACTTATCAGTAACCATTGCCTTTTGTTCTCATGGCCACTATAAAATTTTCAAAATCATATACTGGAATAAGGGTCACTACAATTTCAGCTAATATTGAGAACTATATATGTTTCTTAAACTGTAGAAAATCATGCCAAGCAAAACGTCATCATAGATCTTCATAAAGAAATAAAATAAGAGCAAAAGTCCAAGCAGTTTTGTTATCAATAATCGATTGTGCAATTCTTTGCCGCCACCAAGCATAAAAATCAAAATTTGTTCACATCAGCTAATCAAAATATAACTTACCCATTTGGAATCCGACCACAACCATAGTCGTCTCCGTAAACGTGTTGTTAACCTCAATCGAAACTCAGGGCCTCAGCCCATCACCGCCACCTAGCTGTTTCTTGTTCTCGGAACTCCCAGGACGGAGGTTGAGACCCGTTAAAATGACTTGATCAGAGATTGAAGAGATATCTAGTTCGAAAGTGAGGGAATGGGAAGAGTATGAATCGGTGATGGGAAGGTCGAGATTCTTCATTTTTTGTGTGCAATCTAATAATTTTTTATTGGGGTTTTGGGATTGGGGTCTAGGGTTTGGAAGGGTCGAATTCAGTGATTAAGAAAACAAACGAGAGAGAGAGAGAGAAATATAGAGTCAAAAAATGGAACTCTTTATTTAAAAAAACAGAATGGTGGAATGTTAGTGTGACACGTGACTTGTTATGGAAAGAAAAGATTCACTTTTCTTATATGATAGATGAGTTAAATTTGTTTGATAAACATTTTCCATATTATATATTTATGAATACATTAAATATATTTAATACAAATACGTTTTATTTAATCATGAACACACTATTTTGTTAGATTAATATTAATTTAATTAAAACCATACTATTTTATAAATAAAAATATTTTTAGTTTTAAACACATTATTTTATAAATAAAAACATAATGGAGACCGGGTTTTTCTAGTTTTCTTACTGTTAGTAATTCTTGTTTTCTAGTTAATTTTTGCAGGTTGATAATGAGACCGGGTTTACTATGATCCGGAGGGAAAATTTTCCTTCCTGTGTCACTTTTCTTGCGCTTATTTTTATGCTTTTCGTGATTTTTATTTTCTTTTTCCTGGAGGTGTTGAGAGTTTGCAAGATGAAAGTGATGAGCATTTTGAAGAGCTTGTTGAATGGTTCCTCCTGCAGGTATGTGCTTTCCTTTGAAGATAATATTGTTTTTGGCCATCCATTTCCCATCAACTATGTTAATAAGAATGGAAAGATTGTTGGAGCTCAAATTTTCCAGATGCCCAATTGTCCAATCTGAGAAGTCCTTGTAAGGATTAGTGAATTTAGGTTTAAGAGAGATCCATGGCAGATATGTTGTGCCCATTCACAATTTTTGAAACAGTGATTTGTGTCTTCCATAACTGTAGGACATCT